AAAAATTACCAAAGAGTTTCTATATTTTTCCTATTTAAAACTTGACTCTTCTGTGGTTACATCGTGTACTAAGACCGACGGAAAATGAAAAGAAATTTTTTAGGCCGATATGGCTAGGAACTATACTCTCATTCCAGCGTAATAATCAAGGAACTTGGCTGCCGTACCATGGGTACAGCAGGCGCAATGATATTACGCAGTGCCTGAAAATAGTCCCCAGCTAGGTTACTTCCAAGAAGCCTATTTTCAGGCGCTGCGTAATATCATTGCGCCTGCTGTACCCATGGTACGGCAGCCAAGTTCCTTGATTATTACGCTGGAATGAGAGTATAGTTCCTAGCCATATCGGCCTAAAAAATTTCTTTTCATTTTCCGTCGGTCTTAGTACACGATGTAACCACAGAAGAGTCAAGTTTTAAATAGGAAAAATATAGAAACTCTTTGGTCATTTTTGAGCGAGATGTTAACGGTCCAATCCGATTCAATGATCTATGCTAAGCTGCAGCTAAAAGTGCTACCGCCAGACCCGGAGATCGGCTGAATGGATTAGAAAACGGTAAAACTCTAGGTGAGTTGGAAAATGAGCCTATTTTCAAAAATAGTGGAGTGTTCCTTTAACCAGCTTTCAACTTCAAGCAAAGGGGATCGTAAGGGTAAATTATCATGCAGTGAAGCTATATTAACCCAGTACATTATTGAATATTGAATGAAATGGTCTTGTCTGCAATGCTCTGGCATCTAGCACAGCTTCTAGTCCCAGCTCAAGGTCTTTATCTCTCCTGTGCCCCTCTCGCTCTTGCTCTACTCTCCTAATAAAGGCATGCAAGGCAAAAATATTACTTAAAAATAAGCTATAATAAATGCCCTGTAGTACCAGCTGAAAACAAGTGTTTGGAAATTCATTTTTGGTATTTTTAAAAATTTTTCTCACACAGAATGAGGTTCATGACCTGCGTCATAACTCTTCAGATGCCGCAGCATCCTCATATAGGATGTATCGAGACAACTATGATGCAGAAGGACTTCAGGAAACGTTTCCTGCAGCGCAGACATTCCACGGTGTTCCTCTCACTGGTCAGTTCAATGGCTTACCCAAATCAGCAGTCTTTGATTGAAATGTGAAATTGTACGTGTATACTAGTGGT